TGTGTGTGTGCGTGTGTGTGTGTGTGTGTGTGTGTGTGTGTGTGTGTGTGTTTGTGCATGTGAGTGAAGTGCCCATGGAGGCCAGAAGAGGGCATCAGATCTCTGTAGTTGGAGTTACAGGTGATTGTGAGCTGCCTAGCATGGGTTCCCTGAACCAAACTCTGGTCCTCTGCAAGAGCAGCAAGTACTCTTAGCTACTGAGCCACTTTCCAGCCTTAAAGATTTATTTTTATTTTTTTTGTCTGTGTATGCCATGTGTGTACAGATGCCCTCAGAGGCCAGAAGAAGGTGTCAGATCCCCTGGAGCTGGAATTACAGGTGGTTTGTGAGCCTGCTCAATGTGGGTGTTGGAAACCAGACTTGGGCCTTCAGCAAGATCAATATATATATACTCTTAAGCACTGAACTGTCTCTTCAGCCTCAAAGAGAGTAACTTTTTTTCCATTTATTATTATTATTTTTTGTTTGACTTTGTTTTTGTTTTCTCAGACAAGGTTTTCCTGTAGCCCCAGCTGGCCTGGAACTCACTATGTGGACCAGGCTGGCCTTGGTCTCCCAGACATCCCTCTGCCTCTGCTTCCCAAGTGCTGGTGTTAAAGATGTGTGCCATCATGCCCAGCTCGTCATTTATTATTTATTCATGTATGTCTTGTGTGTGTGTGTGTGTGTGTGTGTGTGTATGTGTGAGTGTGTGTGTGCCATGCATGCAAGTAAAGGTCAGAGGACAACTTCAGGGAGTTGATTCTGTCCTCCCAACATATGGATCCCAGGGATCAAACTCAGGTCCTCAGGTTTGACCCTAGGTGTCTGCTGGGCCATCTCTATAGTCCTTGCCCTTGCTCTTCCCTGCCCAGACTCTTTTGCAGAATTCTGCCGTACCAGTACCAGAAGCCCTGGCCTTGATGAGACGTCTGTACTTGTGGGTGGAGCACACAACTATGCTGACCTCCTGGAACCTGGCCTATCTGGTCACCTGGACCACCTGCCTTGCATCTCACCTCTTGCAGGCTGCCTTTGAGCACACAGCTCAGCTGGCCCAGGCCCAGGAGGCCAAACTCCAGGAGATCTCTGGGCCCTCTCCTCCCTCCTCATTTCCGGGGTCGTCCACCACTGAGGCTGGGCGCTTCCCATCCCAACCTGGAACCCCTGGAGAATAAATATGTCCCCATCTGCCTGTCTTGGTGTGATCTGGTCTAGGGATTCATTGTCCTCTATAGCTGGACTGGAGGGACATTGTGTGAGAGTCCAGCACAGGACTACCTCTGGGAAGAAAACCATGTTCCCCTTTCAGGTGTCAGTTATCAACTTTTTCAGACACTTTACGCATCCTTTGGTTTGTCTCCTAGCAACCCCTGCATCTGACTTGACTGAGCATGGTTTTCCACAAGAGAAAACAGAGCTTCAGGGGTTGGAGTTTTCCAAGGTCACAGGAAACATCAAGGACAGAGACAGCTTGGGTCTCCATATACCTTTATTTTCCTGGCCCCTAACTTTGTCCAAATGCATACCCCTGGTTTTCAGGTTAGTTCCCTGGGGACTTAAGGGGAACTGGGCAGTTAGAGACTCTGGCCTCTAGGGGGTATCAGGACCTCACATTTCTGAGATGTAGAAAAATTCTTTTGAGAAAGTCTGAGAAAGTCTTAAATTTGTCCAATTATCATCCACACACAGGTTATCCACCCATTCACACAATCTACGTGACCATCCCCATCTACGCAAGTACCAATCTATTCACAGAACCACCCCTCCCTCTCTATCCATTGTTCCCTCCCTCCATCCATCCAAAATTCATAAATCCAGGACTGGGTGTGGTGGTGTACACCTTTAATCTGGACACTCTGGAGAGCAGAGACATGCAGATTTCTGGGGATTGAGGCCTGTCTGGTCTACAAAGTAAGTTCCAGGCTAGCCAGGGCTACATAGTGAGATCCTGTCTCAAAGCAAAACAAAAAACAAAAAGCAAACAAAATTCATCCATCCATCCATCTATTCCAAAATTCATTCCTCCATCTTTCTACCCCCAAATTCATTGCTTACTCATCAAAATACAGCAACTCATCCCTCCATCTATCCAAAAATTCATCTCTCCCAACATCTATCCATCCATTTCTCCACCCAAAATTTCATCAACTCATTCCTCCATTCATTCAAAAATTCTTCCACCCATCCATTGCTCCTGCCATTGACCAAAACTTCAACAGGTTTCACAGCAGATTGTGGGTATTCTGGAATTCAGAAGTTGTCCTTTTATCGGGAGCTATGGGTCTCTTCCCACACCCCAGTAACTTCTGCCTTGTTGACCAAAAAGGACCCACTCCAATGTCTCTCCAAGGCAAAAATTCATCCCTCTAGCCCTTCACCCCAACATCCATCCATTCAGCTTTTCCTCCATTTACCATTCAAAACCATCCACTTACCCCTCCATTCATCTGTCCATCCTCCATCCAAAATTTCATACATATATCCATCACAAATCCATCTGTACTCAAATCCACCCACCCACCATTCATCCATCTATCCTCAAAATCCATATTTCCCTCCACCCATTCATAAACCCATCCATCCATCCTTTCATCCATCCACAAATTCATCCCTCTGTCCTTCCCTCCATCCAAAATTCACCCATCCACCCACCGTCTGCTGAAGGACCCCTAGGAAAGGGAACACATCCAGTCTCTACACCCCCCCTCACTGGTGAGTGAGGATAGGGTCCTGCTAACCTGTGCGCTCTTCAGCTGCCATGGGCACATCTCCAGCTCTAGGTGAGCAATTCCGCTGAGGGAAGAGGAGGGGCTGGTTTCCTGAGAGTCAGTCATCACCTCTACCCTTCTCCCAAGCCAGAGGTAGACACTAGGCATCTTCCTTTCACCCGCTCCACCTTATTTATTTTGGGTTTTTGAGACAGGGTCTCCCTGTAGTCCTAGCTGGCCTGGAATTTGATCAAGCTGGCCTTGAACTCACAGAGCTCCACCTGCCTCTTCCTGGCCAGTGCTGGGATTAAGGGCATGCCACCACACCAGGCTATAGTTTATTTTATTTAAAAAAATTTTGATTCATTTTTATTATGCATGAGTGTTTTGTCTGCATGTATGTAAGGGCATTTCATGTGTGCAATGCCCACAGAGGCCAGAAGAGGGCATATGATTCTCTGGAAACTGGAGTTGAGGACAGTTAAAAGCTCAGGTGGGTGCTGGGGACTGAACCCGGTCCTCTCTTAAATGCTGAGCTATCTCTCCAGCTCTATTTTTTGTTTTTGAGACAAGATCTGGCTACATAGTCTAGGCTGGCCTCAAACTCACTGTGTAATCCAGGTAAGCCTTAAACTAAAAATCCTCTTGTCTGACTCCTGAGTGCTGGGATTAGAGGCATTTATCACCACACCTGACTAACTTTTATATTTAGTTTAGTTGGGTTTCCCCCCCCCCCAAGATAGGGTCTCACTATGTAGCCCAGGCTGGCTGCAAAGTTACAATTCTCCTGCCTCAGTCTCCAAGTGTTGGGAATGAAGTATGCATGCACAGTGTGTGTGAGTAGCTGTAGAGGCCAGAGGTGGATATTGGGTGTCTTCTTCTATTGCTCTCCACCTTACTTACTGAGACAGGGTCTCACTGTGTAGACCTGGTTGGCCTGGAATGCATATGTAGACCTGGCTGGTCTCAAACTCACAGAGATCCATCTGCCTCTGCCTCCCAAGTGCACAGATTAAAGACATCTACCACCACACTTGATTTACCTTCTTCTTTTGAGACAGGTCTCTCATTGAAGGCTGTCTCCACTCTCTGGATTATAGACATGAGGTATCACATCTGGCTCTGATTGCATCTTTAGATCAGTTGCTTACTTGCTTTTGTTAATGCACCACCCACCCATGTCTAAGTCAGCCCAGGTGGATTGTCCGGTCATCTGGTCAGCTCTGGACCTAGACATCAATATCCAGAGGTGGAAACTGGGAAGAAGGAACCTGCTTGAGTGGAGCTGCCTTCTGGCTTCCACATGACGTGTTTTCCCTCTCCCAACACATCCCTGGGATGGGATCTGGGGCTGAGGTCTCCCGCAGCAAGAGTGAACCTGGGTAAGGGCTGGATCTGCAGGCTGGGGACAAAGAGCTAGCTCATCTTGCCGGCAGAGGGAGAGAGCTGTAGTCCTGGGGGCTAGAGTGGAGCCAGCAGACCGCCTCCTCATCCATCAGCTCCCAAACTGGTGGCAGCTGGTAATGACAGGCACACCACTTTACATGTGCAGGATATACTGGTAGGAGAAGACTTCAGTGGACTGAAGACAATCTGTCCTTGCTTCTTGTTACTCAAGGGTTGTGTGCAGAAGGGAAGGCAGTCCTTGGGTGGTTGGGAGGCTATAATACTCTTTTTTTTTTAAGTTTAAAAAAAATTGGGGCTGGGTGTGGTAGTACGTTCCGTTTATCCCAGCACTCAGGAGGCAGAAGCAAGTGCATCTCTGTGAGGTCAAGGCCAGCCTGGTCTACGTGGCAAGTTCCAGGCCAGTTGGGGGTATGGAAGACCCTATCTTAAAAAACAAAACAAAAACCAACCAAACAACAACAACAACAACAACAAAGCTGGGTCTGGAGAGATGTCTCCATGGTTAATAGCACTGATTGCTCTTGCAGAGGACCCAGGTTCCATTCCCAGAACCCACATGTCAGCTCACAACTGTGTATAAGTCCAATTCCAGGGGCTCCAATGTCCTCTTCTGGCCTCTGTGGGCATTACACATATGGGTACACTTACATACATGCAGGCAAAACACTCATACATAAAAATAAAATAATAAAGAATTTTTAAAAATATGTGTATGTGTGCATCTGCATAGATTTATGTGTACCACATGCATGCAGGTACCTGCAAAGGCCAAAAGAGGGCAACAAATTTCCTAGAACTGGAGTTACAGGTGTGTGTGAGCTGCCTGAGGGGGATGTTGAGAACAGAGCCCAGGTCCTCTGCTGAGCCATCTCTCCAGTACCTTTGAGAGGCTTTTTGAATCAGGAGTCCATTGTGACTGGTCCTGGAAGAGAGGGATGTATAGGGCTGTGGCTCCAAGTCTGACCCTTGCTGTGGGAGGTCTGTTAAGGGCATGGCTCTTCTGGAATTGAGTCAGTTGGACATTGTTGCTGATCTGGGCTCTGAGCAGAGCTCAGGTTGGGTTCTGAAACACAGTCTAACCTCTGGAATCCATTTTTGTTTTGTTCATTCTCATTATCGGAGATTAAACACAGGGCCTCCTGAATACTAGGCTGATTTTTCAACCACTGAGTAGCCACACCCCAGGCCCTCACTGGGGGATTCTAGGCAGATGCTCTAGCAAGAGTTACATTCCCAGACTCCTTTTGACTTTTTATTTTAAGTCTCACTAAGTTGTTCAGGCTGGCCTCATCCTCCTAAATGACTCAAATGACAGGCCTGCACCACCAGGCAGGGTCTGGAGTCCAGTTCTCAAAATGATCAGCCTGAGGAATCAAGATGCCTCTGAACAAGAGGAGCCTGGTGGGTGGGTATGGTCCCTCCTTGTGTGTGCCATAGTACTGGGATCAGGGACAAATACTTGGAACCCATGACTGCTCCTACCTCCATGAGTGACCTTGGATGAGCTCTGCCCTTTCTCAGCCTCTGTTTCCCTCTGTGCACATGATGAGGGAGGGTCCAGGTCTTGCCCTGCATGCCCCAGCTGAGAGTTAGTTTGGGGCTGCAGATTTGTTGGGCCTCCTATATATACATAAAAGTCCTGACCACAGGACCTTTATACAAGCTGGATGAAATCTGACCCCTGAGACCTCCTCCATCCCTAAGATGTTGCTGTATTTATTTTGGAGCCTCGAGGATTAATCCTTCCAGCTGGTTAAGGACCCTGGTGGCCTGGGGCCAGGTTTGGGAGAAAGATTAGACTGTCCCTCTTGGGGGCTGAGGAGACAGCTCAGTGCATAAGAGCACTTGCTCCTCTTGCAGAGGACCTGGTTCCCATCCCCAGCACCCGTGTGTGCGTGAGTGTGCTGTTGTACAGCACTAGCCGCCAGACTGAACCACCATCTCCCTAAGACCAGCTGTGTCTGCTTGCAAAAGCTCATCAGGGCTGGGACCCTCACCTGTGAGTCCAGTCACTCTTCCCAGCCATTTGCATCCAATTCTGCCCTAATTGCATGTGGCCTCATGA